CCCCTCCCTAGAACTACAGACATCTCCAAAGCCAGGGCTCAACTCTACATCACTGCCATGGACAGGGCCATCACCCTTGCCTAGACATCTCTAGGAGTCAGGGTCTGTCCTAAGCAGAAGGATGCCCACTATGGGCAGTGCCCTGAGCCCCACTGGGGCAGAGCTGAGGTTGGTCACACATGGAGGTCAGAACTTGGTAAGGTCTCCAGTATGGTGGGAAGGTGAGTGAGATTGAGAGCACAGAACCAAAGAGTTGGGGAATTCCCATGCTTCCAGGGCCTTCACATCCAGAATGACTGCCTGAGAGTCCCGACCAGGTCTCCTCTGTCTGTTTCTTCCCAAGAACTCACCTTCTGTGCCTCCCTATCACCACCACCTCCCCTCTGACACTGGACATGTCAGGTGACTTGTCTGTCTCCCAACCGAATTTGGCGCTGTTCAAAGGCAGGGATGGGTCTCTATCATTCACCTGGAATTTTTAAGGCACAGTATAGGTGCTCACTGCCTGTCCTGAGTGAGTAAGTGAGTGAATGAATGAATGAATGAGTATAGACAAGAGTGAATGAATTTTTTCCTCAGATCCTGGGAAAGATTAGACAATTCTTCCCTCTCAAATTAACATAAGCTTCCTCTTTCCTAGCCCAATCAATCCTGGACAGACAAGATAGACGAAGTGTCTCCCTGGGTACACAAGTGAGCACGAGGAGACAGGGTCCTGTATGATTCTGGAAAATTCACTTTCTGTCTTAGTGTGTTCCTAATGCAACAACAAAATACCATAAACAGGGTAGCAGATAATGAACAGAAATCTGTTTCTCACAGTTTTGGGGGCTAGAAAGTCCGGATCAAGTTTCCATTGGATTTGGTGTCTGGTGAGGGCCTCCTTTTCCCATAGATGACATCATGCTTTCTTACGGGGTCCCCACATCATGGAAACCATGAAAAAACTGCCTCAGGTCTCTTTCATAAGGGCACAGATTCCAACATGAGGGCCCTACCATCATGACCTAATCACCTCCAAAGGACCTTACCTCCTAATACTGCCACCTTGGGGGTCTGGATTCCAATACACATATTGAGCAGGGACCCAAACATTCAGATCATGGCACTTTTTCACTCTGAAACCTGGAGTCCTCTTCTACAAATTGTGGGTGTGGGCCTCTAAGGCCTCCCGGGGTCACAAGTTCGTCATAAATTCTTGTTTTACATTCAGCTACTGTCTGTGTTTTGCTCCGTCCCTCCTTTCCATGTTTATTCCCTTCTTTGCAAACTGGGGACCACCAGAAACAGATGGGCCTGGCTCAGCCCTTCTGACTAAGGGATGCTGCAACAGCCCCTATGGGAAACAGCAGTTGGGCAAGGATGGGGCGCCCAAAAGGGGGAAGTGGTGGCAGGATGAGATAGCGTCTGAAGAAGCAAGCGTTGGTGATGGGGGCGGGCATGTTTATGCCTCCCCAAACACTGGACCTTCCCCTTCTCAATTATCAAAGCTGATGTATTCGAGGCTCTAACACGAGACAGGCCAATCTGTGAAGGTCAGGTCAAGAAAGTAGGCTATAAATTTTTTTCCTTTCCTTTTTTTTTTTTTTTTTTTGAGAGAGCAGCTCAAGCTGTCGCTCTGGGTAGAGAGCTGGAATCATAGCTCACAGCAACCTCAAACCTTGGGCCAGGTGATACTCTTGTCTCAGTTTTTCTATTTTTAGTGGAGACAGGATCTTGCTTTTGCTCAGGTTGGTCTCGAACTTGTGAGCTCAATCCACCTGCCTCAGCCACCCAGAGTGCTAGGATTACAGGAGTGAGCCACCACGCCCTGCCTCTTTTTTTTGAGACTCTATCACCCTGTGTAGAATGATGTGGCATCAGTCTAGCTCACATCAACCTCAAATTTATGGGCTCAAGCAAGCTCTTGTCTCAGACTCCCAAGTAGCTGGTACCACAAGTGCTTGTCATGATGCCTGGCTATTTTTTTATTTTTTCTATTTTTAGTCGAGAGGATGTCTCCATCTTTCTCAGGCTGGTCTGGAACTCCTGAGCAAAAGGCATCTCCCCACCTCGGCCTCCCATAGGACTATAGGCATGAGCCACTGTGCCCAGCCCTGTAATTTTCTGTTATACAAAGTCTTCAGGAAAAGAGATGCAAAGTCACAGCATCCAAGGCAGCGTGCTGATGTGATAAAAATACACAGACAAGCAAGAAGACAAGAGGCAATACAACGAAGTCAGGGGCTGCTCCAGGAGGGAGTGGGATGTGGTCAATAGGAAGGGGGAACACCTGGGGGCCTGAGCTGCTGCTGGTGATGCTCTACTGCTCAGAGGGTGCTCATTTCATGAATCACCAAGTTGTTCTTTTGTGGACACTTTGCTCTGAAGGTGTTACATTTCCCTGATGTAATGCTTCAAGAAAAACTGACCCAGGCTCACTACACGTTGCACAGTGGTTAAGGTGCCAGCCACATACACCAAGGTTGGCGGGTTTGCACTGGGCCAGCTTAACATCAATGACAACTGCAACAAAAAATAGCCAGGTGTTATAGTGGTGCTTGTGGTCCAGCTGCTTGGGAGGCTGAGGCAAGAGGATCACTTAAGCCCAAGAGTTTGAGGTTGCTGTGAGCTGTGAAGCCATGGCACTCTACCCAGGGGACATGGTGAGACTCTGTCTCAGAAAAAAGAAAGGAAAAGAAAGAAAAACTGACCCAGGTGAAAGGAGGCTCTACCTCCTAGGTCCCCTGATGTCCCCTGGCCCCAGGCACACAATTGAAAACTATCTTGCATTGAATTCAGGTGCCTGTTTCGTCTTGTATGTGATCCCAACCTGCCCGAATGTGGGCAGCCCCAAGGCTGGTGTTCCTGGGTCTGAGACTCCCGTTTACCTGGACTCCTGGGAGCAGACCTGCAGCAGCAAAGCCCTGGAGGCCTGGGGACCCACCATGCTCTGGAGGAAGGAGGCCACAGGAAATAATGATGGTGACAGAATCTGACCCGATGCCCAGAATGCCTCTAGGAAAGGAGAAGTTTCTACCCTTTTCGAAATCTGCCCTTTACCTCTGACCTTCCTCCTACCAAACCTTACTGCACAATAACCCTGGGGCCTCAGTCTCCCAGGCTGCCTCTGTGCCCTCAGTCTGTATGAACTCACAGAATCCTCACCTCCATAGCCCAGTGCCGTGCACTCAGTCCTTCTGACACCACCTCTCTGTCTCCTCCCTTGCCTGTGCGGCCCCAGGAATTTCCAGTCAGAGGGAGCTTAGGCATCAACAGGCTTACCGTCTCCCCAGTGGACGGTGACTTCACAAAGACAGGATCTGGGCCTGTGTGCTGACTTCAAGGTGCAGAAAGTAGACACCCACCTCATGGTTGCTGAGAGGGGAGGAACAGGCTTGTGGTCACCCCTGTGGGCTTCCCCTATCACCCTGTCCCTGAGCCTCAATCCTGATCTCCACAGTGGTCCACAGCCCCAGACTCCAGGGTCTGGCCAGAGGACACCAATTTTCACCTTCCAGAAAATGTCACTCAAGGGGAAGGGTGTTGACCCCACATGGGGTGGAACTTGGGTGAGCCTCTCTCCCTCTCTGGCCACAGGCTCCCCAGGGTGGACATGGGTGGTAACAGTTGATTGCTAAGTGCTGCCCCGGCCCTGGCAGTGTCTGGGTATGAAGTTCCTCCTCTGAGGAGGGTCACAGTTCTGACCTCGCCCCCCATTTCCTGTATAGCCTTCTCTGAGTCCTGTAGCTCTTCCGTTCCTGATAGAAGAACTCTGAGGAACAAACTATCCCCAGTGGGTCCTGGCACCTCCACCCAGACATGCTGCTGCCTCTGCTGCTGGCCCTGTTCTGGGTGGAGAGATATGGAGACCTCAGTGACGGTCATTCACTGCAAGTGAAGAGGGAGGTGACAGTGCAGGAGGGCCTGTGTGTCCATGTGCCCTGCTCCTTCTCCTACCCCCCGGGAAAATGGAAAGACTCTGACCCTGTTTATGTCTACTGGTTCTGGAAAGAGGCCCACATAAACGAGGATGCCCCAGTGGCCACGAACCATCCAACTCGACCAGTGCAGAAGGAGACCCAGGACAGATTCCATCTCTTTTGGGACCCCAAGACCAACAACTGCTCCCTGAGCATCAGAGATGCCAGAAGGGGTGACAGCAGGTCATACTTTTTTCGGGTGGAGAGAGGAGATATGAAATACAGTTACAGATTTGACCAGCTCTCAGTGAATGTGACAGGTAAGGCCTGGGCTCTAGGGGTGCCCACAGGGGAGGTGGTAGAACCCACATGGGAGGTGGTAGTGCCCACAGGGGAGGTGGTGGGACCCACAGGAGAGGTGGCAGGGCCGGTCTGGGGCCCCTGTCATGGGAGGGGTGGAGAAGAAGCCTGTCAGGTCAGGGGAGGAGCTGGACCAGAGCCTGAGCTCCTCTAAAGGCTGCACCGGGGCCCCTCCATCCTGATGCTGCATGTCCCCCTCTCCTCCCCAGCCCTGACACACGTGCCCAACATCTCCATCCTGGGAACCTTGGAATGTGGCCTCCCCAGGAACCTGACCTGCTCTGCGCCCTGGGCCTGTGAACAAGGACCACCTCCCAAGATCACCTGGGATGGGCCCTCGGTGTCCACCCAAGTCCTCACTACCGGTCGCTCCTCTGTGCTCACTCTTACCCCACAGACCCTGCACCATGGCACCAACCTCACCTGTCAGGTGACCTTGCCTGGGGCTGGTGTGACCACAAAGAAGACTATTCATCTCAATGTGTCCTGTGAGAGCTGGGCTGGGACATCCAGGGCTTTGCTGGAGAGCAATGGGATGGGCTTAGGGGTGCACATGGGGTCCAGGTGGGGAGGGTCTGGAGAAGGCTGGCTCAATCGTCCCCAGCATATGGCTCCTGGGGACAGACCCCAGCATCCACCCAGCCCTCAGCCATGACTCTGGGCTGCCATGTCTTTCTGCCCCAGACCCTCCTCAGAATTTGACGGTGACCGTTCTCCAAGGAAACAACACAGGTAGGACAGGCCCTCCCTGGGCTGTGGAGCCTCTTGTTGGTGACCCCAGTGCCCCTTCTCACCCTTAGACTTTCTGACCCCTCCCTCCCCTCAGACTCCTCCATGACTCCCTTGGCCCACAGTAAGGACAGGACAACACTGACAGGCAGAGCTGGCTTCAAGGCCTCTTCTCATGAATAGTCTTTCAGCCTCATCTTTTTGTTTTCCTCAATAGTTTTATGTACTTCTAGATGGGTGCTAAGGTCACATGGGCAAAAGTTCAAAACACCCACAGAGTCTGCCCTCAGGTGCCCACCCCCTCCTCAAAACCCACCAGTGTCCCCACAGGCTGCCCTGAGACTCAGTCTGTTCACCTGATGACCATCAGAGGTGGTTTGACACCAGTAGCACAGACTGTCCTCATTCTCCTCCAGGACTGGGTAGTATTTCTTTGCCTGTGTGGACTCTGATTTTGTGACCTCTTCTAATGGAAAGCAATACCACTGGAAAGTAGTCTTGACTTTCATACCACAGACATGCTGCCACAAATGATCTTATATCCACTGTCACAGGAATAACTAAGCTTGTGGTATCAATTATTACAGCAACATTTAGCTGATAATATGTTCTAATTTTGAGAGATATGGCCAAATTATCCTCAATTAAGGGTTTACATTCCCAAGAGTGCGCAGTAAAGTATGTGTTTTCCTCCATTCAGTATCCATGTGTCTGTTTCCCTCACCCATCTCCTTCTGCGTCCTTCCACTGTCTTCAGAGCTCTGTCATTCTGACTCTGTTTCTATCTCTACAGCACCCGTGACCATGGGGAACGGCTCATCTCTGCCAGTCCTGGAGGGCCAGCCTCTGCGCCTGGCCTGTGCTGCTGACAGCAACCCCCCTGCCAGGCTGAGCTGGACCATAAGGAGCCTGACCCTGTGCCCCTCACAGTCCTTGGGTCCTGGGGTGCTGGAGCTGCCCCAAGTGCACTTCAGGGATGAGGAAGAATTCACCTGCCAAGCGCAGAACTCTTTGGGCTCCCAGCACATCTCTCTGAGTCTCTTCCTAAAGACTGAGCCCACACGTGAGTGGAGGAGAGGCTAGGGAATGAGGACACACCCGTCCCACACTGACTGTGCACCCAGCAGTCCCTAACTACAAAGGGAAGCTCAGCTGCTAGGTTTGAAACTTTCCTGGACCATCACTGTCCACTTCCTGCACAGCAGGGGTGTGGGGTGAGACGAGGGGGGGAGGTGGACCTTGATGGGGTAGGGATGGGACCTGATCCAGAAATAGTTTGGGAAGAAAAAGTCCTTGCTCTGCAGGGCTGGGACTAGTGTGAGACACATGAGGGACTCACCTTGGGTACAAAATTGAAAACACAAAAACAAGTCAGCAATTAAGGGACGTAATATGGCGATGTGACAATCTTTTTGAAATAATATAATTGAATGCAAACTAATTCCACTATAAACAAAATAAGGAAATTTTACATAAAGATAGGTGGCACCTAGCACTTCCTGGCTTCATTGGTCTCAAGAATAGTCCCTCCTCCCCTGTCAACCATGTTCTTTGTATCTGGGGACTGGGAGAGGAAGAGAACAGTTCTAAGAGGTGACTCACAAAATTACTCCCAACCATCTGCAGTCAGAGCACAGCCTGTGTCAGAAGTGATGCTGGCAGGGGTCTGGGGAGCCGGAGTCACAGCCCTGCTCTTCCTGTCCCTCTGCATCATCTTCATCGTGTAAGCATTGACCTTGGGGGGAGGGCAGGTCGGGAACTGTGTCCCTAAAGCCAGACTTGGAGGCACCTGGATGGGTCATGAGCTTAAAGCAAGGGTAAGAAGGATGTCATGTGTGCATGGGAGAATTCCGTGGGGCCTGTGTTTGGGGGGACTCCTAGTTTATGGCAAACCTGGGGCCTCACTGTCCAGGAGGGAGGTGACTGTGTTCTCAGTATTGGGGTCTCTGGGACAAGATAGTCTCTCTCCCACCACGGTCACCCTCTAACCAACCCCTCATTAGGAAATAGACTTGGGTGGGGCTGCTCACTGTTACTTGATGCCCCGAGACTGAAAGACTCTCTGGTCTCCTGTCAGTGTGAGGTCCTGCAGGAGGAAGGCAGCAAGGCCAGCAGAGGGCGCAGGGGAGAAACGCGCTGAGGATGCAGACGCTGTCAGGGGCTCAGTCTCTCAGGTGAGTGACGTGGGAGTCTCTAGATCCAGTATCCAGCCTGGACACCCCCCACTGGATGGCCTCCGAGATTGCTCAGCTAGACATGGCCAAAGTTGCTTTTTCATCTCTTCCTCCTCCTCCCTAAAATCCGGCCTCCCCTGCGGGAATCCCCCATGGTACTGACAGCATGAAAGCCTGCCCCTGCTCCACAGCCAGGCACAGAGGAAAAGTTACCTCCTCTCTGTCCTTTCTTTCCTCTCATATGGCCCCAAATTCACCAGGTCTTGCCTGCCCCACCCCCCCACCCCCAGAACAGCGGTCGTTGGTTCCCATCCTCTATCCTGAGCCCTCTCATTGCTGAGGCCTCAGGTCCCCTTCTTGGACCCCCTCACCTCCCTGCCGCTCACCTCCTCTTCCCTACCTGGAGGGATCTTCCCAAAGTCATCCCTGCCCAGTGCCTCTGCATCTGAGCAGCTGTTCTCTGACCCCCAGCACTGTCGAGAGCAGAGGCCAAGAAACATTTTCTCCAAGGGCCAGATGGTAAATACTTTTTGGCTTTGTGGGCCATATGATCTCTGCTGCAAATTCTCGGTCAGGTCTGCCACTGTAGGACGAAAGCAGCCACAGAGCAGGCAGCAATGAATGAAGATGCCCGTATTCCAATAAAACTTTACTTACAATGCAGGCAGTTGGCATTTCACCCAAGGGCTGTAGTTTGCCAACCCCTGATCTAGAGTAAAAACCTCAAACACCTCAGCCTATAGCCCTGCACATTCTGGCCTCTTAAGTACCTCCCTCTCCAGTAGGGCAGAAATTAGGATGACCAGAGTGAGGCACTTCCTCTGAATGCAAAATGTAAGGGCATGCCAAACATCTCAGCAATTAAGACAATTGGAGGTTTTAGGCACTAGGTTTTTTAAAACATCGAAATTGATTTTAAAATTCAACACTGAACAAAGTATCAAAATTTTAAACAATGCTGTGGTTAAACGGTAGTTAGTTAAAAAGTGTTCAAGATTATTACTTAGTTAAGAGACTAAGTCAATTGTCAAGCAGGGAAGCATTCTCGGTTGAAAGTTAGAGGAGCGAAGAAGTAGATTTTGAAAATGTTGTCTGCTTTGCTTCCCGGAAAGCCAGGATAGGAAACTTTCAGATAAATTCTGGTTTCAGCATACATAACATCTTCAAACTGAAAATCATGTTTTAATACACATTTCTTTTCAGTTTGTCAACATTATTGCAATTATTAACATTGTGGGGAAAATTGACCATAAAAATACATGAAACATGTAAATAGAGGCATGATTTTTTTTTCTTTTGCCTCAGACTTCAATTAAGTCAACAGAGCACGTTTACTAATGCAGAGTTTATTTAAATTTTTCTTTGACACTGATTTTTTTGCATTAATTTTGATTTTAAAAACATTGCATGGACTCTGCGCCTGTGGCTCAAGTGGCAAAGGTGCCAGCCACACACACCTGAGCTGGC